ACACACACACACACACACACACACACACACACACACACACACACACACACACGTGAAACAAACAGTACCACAGGCTCACAGGCTCTTGGTTTTTGTGCTTGGCAAAGATCCTGAGTGTGAATCCCCATGCTGCATACAGTTGACTTCAGGGATGCAGTCATGGATTACTGTCCTATATATTCATTGAACTGTTGTATCCAATGCAAATCAAGCTGCTGGATGGAAGTAAAAAAGGAAGCTATTATCTGGCATCCTGAAGAAAGAAGAAAAGTAGCACAGCTTTTGGGTGAAAGTGAAAGCTACTTGCTAATGTAAATGAAGAACAAACTGGAGCAAAAAGCCCAGGATGAAATTTTGAAACACTTCAAATCACTCGCTCATCTCTGCACATCACAGGTACAATCCACTAACTGGGTCTGGCTTTGTAGTGCCAACTATTTACAATATCCTGCTTCTGTTCAAACTGCCTTCAGCTATCCAGTATCTGCCAGCTGAGGCTTCTGCACAAGGAAAGCTGTACAGGAATGGTGCAGGACTATAATAATGTGACCACATGTTACCAGGAGCTTGAATTAATCAACTTTAAAAATTCCTCTGTTGAGCAGATAGCTAGCTTTGCCTTGGAGGTTGTACTGGGGTCTCTGGAAGAAATGGGATATTTGCACATTGTAGGAGCAGCAAAGCTTCTTTTAGTGCTGGGGAGGGGAAGAAGAGGGGAAAACCTCATAACAGCTCAGGGCCTGGAAAGACATGTATGCACTGGACTAATCAGCATTTACACAGGTGTAAACAGCAAGGAGACACATGACAAACTCTGACACTGGTGTAATTTCATCTGATCTATTGGAATTAGTGTTGCACAAAAGCAGGGGTAAAACTGTTCCAGGGTAAGTTACACCAAGGAAGATGTCAGCCAGCAGCATGTTGCGTGGAAGCTGTTTGCTCAAGTTAAACAGGCTATTTCTTGCTCTCCCATCATAGTGGTGAGACACTACAATAACTACTGCAGGCAAATACCAGTGTACTCTAGGGGCACATCCACACATGCAGGCACATGCAATTGCAGCAGCTCAAATAGAAGCGGCACAAATTTGAGCTGGGGCTTTTTGCCTCAGCTCACATGCCTGGACATGCATTTTGCTTTAGGGCAAATTGTGCCACTTAGGGCAAAATAATCCTGCCTTGCTCCTCCTTGATCTGTGGCCAGGGGGAGCTAGAGGCTGCAGCCAGCACCTGTGCTGGCCCCAACCATATAAAAACCTGCCTTGTGCTGGCCTCAGCAGTATAAAAAGCTGCCCTGGCAAGTAGCTCAGGACTACTCACTTTCAGGAGCTTCTGGGGTGTACCACTCATTCACTAGCCCCACAAGGGGTTTAAGGCCCACTCTAATAGGGTGTACAAATAGATAGGCACTTCTGAGGCCTAGCCAATTGGTACCTGGGGACACTACCCCTTGTGCCAGCTGGACTGCTGAACCAGCCCTGAGAGTTCCCTGCACCCTCTACCCACTGCAGCAGTCTGGCAGTGGTGGCTGCTGCCTGGCTACGACCGGCTGCCACCTGCGACAGCACGTGGCCCCAAGGCTGCACGACTGCCAAATCCAGATGACAGTATGGCCATTAGAGGCATCTGCACCTCTGGGCCAGCTGCCAGTGGGCTGTGGCTGCACATTTGGCCTTTGTGCGGTACTACTGCCACGTGTGATGCTACCCTGCCATCTGGGTAGCTATCACCCGGAAGATGTTCTCAGTGTGGTGGCATGCTTTGAACTGTCAAATCATGTCCTCCTGGCCACTTGGGACCAGGTCAGCCGCCTCCAGCTGGGTTCCAGGTGTCAGCTCTGAGTGGGCCACCCCCCCGGTCCCAGCCTCCTGCTCACCCCTCCAGCCTCCCTGATTGCTCCCCCACCTGGCCCCAGGCCCCACACATCTCTTCGCCTGCCCCAGCATTCCTGCACTCACCGATTGCAGCAGCGGCTGTCAGGGCCACTCGGGGCCTCATGGCACAGCCCCCGCCCCCACATGGTGTGAGGCAGCGGGGTTTGGCCCCAACTGCCTGGCACCCGCCAGCGCTGCCACTGCCACACTGCAGGGGTGCAGCCCAGATCAGCAAGACACTGTCAGGAAGCTCGGGGCCACTGTGGCTGTCACCCAGGGCTCAACGCTGCTCAGTCTGAGCGGCCCCAAGGTGCCCAACAGTGAGCAGCACCCCATGAAACCAGGTTGCACCCCCATGATGTGGCAGAAGCAGCATGGGTGCCAGGCGGCCAGGGCCAATCCCCACTGTCCCATGCCAGGAAGGGGGGCAGTGCCATGAGGCCATGCAGGGACGCTGGGGCCAGGTGTGGGGGGGGCAATTGGGGAGCTGGGGCTGGGTCCCCCCCTTACCTCCCCAATCCCCCTACTGACCTGTCACGGAGCCTAGGTCTAGGTCTCTGCAGCCTGAACTGTTGCTTGCCCTGCATGGGCAGGCAGTGTGCTTCAGCACCAGGACAAGGGCCAGCCATAGAGACCAGAATGGCTCTGTGGAGGACCCAAGCTTCCGGTTGCCTCACGGCATGGCCAGGGACCATGCCCTGTCCTGCCTTCCCCTGGGGTATTTTTTGATACCTGCATTTCCAGGTATCAAATTTTGCACCCCCTTCCTCCCCCTGCTGCAAATATGCAGCACAGGGAATGTTTTTTTGTTCCCGGCATGTATCTTGCAGCATCTCAAAGGAGTTTGAGATGCTTTTCAAGAGGCACATGCAGGCTCATGTGGACACACTAGGGAGGATGGCTGCATTCAGACAAAGGCCCTCTGTGCATGCGACATCTCTTCAGCTGATCTACAACATACATACCTAAGTCTGCCGGCACCTGCGAGCAATAGAGGAGATTCTAGTCCGTGACTCCAGCCTGTGGAGGAGATGATATGCTATGGAGCATAAGCAGCATACAGATAAACCCATTCTCTGCTGTGTTCTCACAGATGTCTTCTAAGTCTTTTCACAGTGAAAGGATTTAACATCATTCTTCCCATTAAATCAATGGCATTTCTGTAGCCAAATCCCTGTGTGCCATTTTAAGACAGACAATGCAACCGTGCTTAGCACATTCTCTTAAAGATAAAGCAGCAGCTCCTAGACATACACTGGGTACAGTGGAGGCCAGTCTCAACTGCCAGTTAATAAGGAGAGATGATGCAGACCATTCATACTAAGAGACAGAATTTTTTTTTTATTCCTGGCTGTGGCAATGCTAGGGAACATGAGAAAATAAAGATGCAGCAAAGGCAGGAACAAAAGTGTAGACTTGAAAGTGACCATTATTGCTTTCTTTTTTCCTTTGCCATTAAGGCTGCAAGAGAATGAAGATTCACCATGACAAACAGACTGCTGAAATGAGAATGTCATCACAGCAGGTTTCCCCATTACAAGAACAAATCTGGGCAGGGAAAATAAAAAAATGTGGCTCCTTAGTTTTCTACCTGAGGGATACAATATTTTATGGCTTGGAAATTTTTAGCATGCAGTGGCTTTGTGAACCTGCAGGGTGTTTGGTTCTTTGGTTTTCACTTGCATATCAACATGAAGTTAGAAGAAAAGAACAATACCATTTAGGGCTAATTCATTCCTGGAGATGCTTTATCTGGAGCTGCAGTCTTCATTATCTCAGAGTTTCCTATTACTTGCTGGAGGGATGAATTTCTCACAGAAACGATCACATGAAAACTGGAAAGACACATAATAGAAAAAGGAATAGGGGAGGGGGAGAACCTCTAAGCTTTCCCTCAAACTCAATTGCAGTGCTAAAAATAACTAGAAAAAATCCAGGATTGTTTAATTGCTTCCTGAATATTTTTCTGTAAGTTCTATCATGTGAGCTTTTATTCTGATGTCAACACAGATAACCTTTTGGATGAACTGTCCAACTTCTTCAGGGTCCATGAACTACTGTTGTGTAGCAGAGTAAGCATAGGACAGAAATACAGGAGTGTTGAGGTCTAAGCCTTGTCTCTGCTATTTTGCCTGGTGGAACATGTCCTGCATTCCTCAAGAGTGCATTTTGTTACCCATGACTGTGATGTGACAGTTTCTTCTACTGTGTTTGCAATGCACTTTGTCTACATTGTGGTAGCACATAGAAGCCTGAGTCAGACCAGGACCCCATTATGCTGCTAGACATTATGCAGATATATATGCATAAAGGCGTTCTCTTGACATAAAGTGATTGAAATCCAAGTTTAAGAAGCAGCAAGCAGGTATAGACAGGTGGCCCAAGGAATGGATGAGATGCTGTTGGTTAGTATAACATGCATCGGTCCAAATACGGAATATGGGAATGCATTTGTAAGTCTTTGTTCATGGCAAAAATCCCTGAATGCTTTGCAGTGATCTAAAAACCTGGCAAGAAGGAGGTAATTTGAGCACAGAACTGGAGGACTATTTACACTGCAATCTAGGAGTGCAACTGCAGTTTGTGGAGATGTAGCTATGCCAACCATAAACTAGTTAGTTCAGGTACTGACAGCAGCATAGACAAGATACTGTGACCACAGCTTGCATTAACTGCTCAAGTATTTACCAGGGTCCTACCAAACCCACCCAGTGCTGTTGGTAAGAGGTATGGCAGCTAAAGCTAGCCCAGGTATGATCTCCAGTCTCCCCCCAGGATGCTGTGCAGGTACATCCTGAATTCTAATCTCAGTCTGGGATGACTTCTGTTACACTGAGCCATGACAGAATTCCACCTTCTATTTGTAAAACGGTATTGTGAATTGTGAGAATTAATGGATATTTATTAGTTGCTGTGAAGAAGATGGCAGGGATAGGCATGGATGTGGACTTTATAAACCAGGTGGCTGACAGACAGCCAAAAAGGACTGAAGAGAATAAAATTGAAATCTCTTGGAGAAAACTCCAATCTGAGCTAAAAGCGAGAGACAATCTCCAATTTAGCATTCATCGATTAGCTCTGAGGGCAGCTGCACTGAGTAACTGGAGTTACCATTGCAGTTTCTCAAGGCAAAAAAAAAGTTAAGATCACAATTACAAAATAAAATAAGGGTAAATACATAAAATGAAGGTAAAATTTGCTTTACAAAAATCCTACAGTTTATTGATTTTACTTTAATTAGAAAGAAATTCCCCCACCCCCCCTTCCCCATCTACCCTCTTGTCCTCAATACTATGTTTCAAGGCCTATTTTTTAAATGCAACTGTGAATAAGTAGAAGAGCTTCTGTTGGGGGGCGGGGAAGAATTTTAAAGATTTTTCATGCATGTTGCAGCTGCTTAAAGTGTTGAACCAGACTTATCCATGTGTCCTTTCTGGACTGTATTTAAGAACAGTCAAGCAGCTCTTGGACAGCAAAGGGTTTCTTTTAAATGTATGTACCAGCCATACAAATAAAGATGGTTCCCAGTATGAATAACACTACAGAAGACAGAGGGAATATTGGAAATTGCAAAGTAAACTTATCTGCCGTAGCAATCTCTAAAACTTTACCTGTCATCTCTGAGAACACTTGGAGGAGGTAGAGGATCCCAGCAGACTGGAGAAGGAAAAAACTTAGGAGCTGTTGTTAAACAGGGAGAAAAAAGAAATCCACGGAGATTACAGGTATATCAGCCTCCATACCACACAGAATATTAGAATAAATTATTAAACAGTTTATAAGCAGATGGAGAATAATAAAGTGATTAAAAAGAGAAAACATGTAAAGAACAAATCGTGTCAAAACCAATTTACATTACTTTCTTAGCCAGAATAACTGGCTCGGACAATAAAGGAGAAACAGTCAATGAGAGACTTGTTTTAGTATGATAGATAACTTTATTAAAGATTTTGATACCATCTCACATGCCATTGAGGAAAATGTAGCCTTGGGCGGTGGTTTTCAACCTGTGGTCTGCAGAGCCCTGGGGGAGGGCAGGTCTGTAGATTATGTCTAAGGGGGTCCACAGAAGATGACTATTATCAATCAAAAGTATGCAAATATTCACACTTACAATTTGAAGTCATCCACAACTCCATTAGAAATTTTTTAGGGGTCTGCAAATGAGAAAAAGTTGAAAACCCCCTGGCTTAGTGGGATTCGCAACTGGTTGAAACATTGCACCTGAAGAACAGGTATCAGTGGTTCACTATCAGATGGGAAGGAACTTTCAAGTGGGTTCCCACAAGAAGCTGCCCTAAGATTAGTTGTATCCTTATTAACAAACTGGCCAAAGAACACACTCATCACAAGACAAGCAGTTCCTCTTTGATCTCTCAGTTCTAATCCTTAAAGGGAATTTACAAAACACCTTTCATGGATGAGCCTATGAACTTCACATCATAAACCTACCGATACAAAATAAATAAATAAATAAATCATGGACTCAATATAGACATTAGATTTATGACACTTTACAAAGTGCGTGGCATCTGATTCACCAGGTACCTTCCTGACCTCACCATTTACATTCCCCCTGCCCCCTTTCCTCCTCCACTCTCCTTCTCTACCTTTTGTCTTCCTAGTTTCCAGTTATTTACTTTTTCACAAACTGCCTCTCTTCTACCTTGGAAAACTCAGCTAGAACAGTCTCCCTTGCTTACCTTAGGCATTATTTCCCCCTTGTTCCCCCTCCTCTCCCTTCTCTACTCATTGTAAATAGGTGGAAATTAGGAAAACATTCTCACTGAGATCCTGTCACACTTTCAGCTTCTTTCATTCCTTGGAGATCTCAGAACAGTAGAGACTCCCTATGCCTGAAGAATGGTGCTTGGGCCCAAAAGCTTGCAAAAGGCTTTTTTCCAACTACTCAGTTGGTCGAATAAAAGAGATTACATCTACCCAAAGTGCCTTCTTTTCCAAAGTATACTTAAAACATTTGTGAAGAGTATCGAAGTAGTAACATGGCAAGCTCCCTGAAGGATGGGATCAGAATTAAAATGTGATCTGGTTAGAAGGTACTTATTAAAGAGCAGTAAAATGTAAGATACTTGCTCATTCAAACAGTGGAGGAAAGTTCTCCAGAGACTGGTGCTCTTCTCTACGTTTGAGTGGGCAATAGAAACACAGGCACCTGTAGGCTGTGTTCTTTTTGTTTGCAGGAGATTGAGGAAAATATTAGTAAGTCATGGGTTATCTCCATGTCATCTTTGATCCATTCTTTCTAGTCAAAGAAACACTTTCTACTTGCTCACAATGGATCTTGCAAATAACACACCCACCTCTTTCATTTTTATTCTAGGGTTTAAAGAATGCCAAATTTCAAAGCTACCTGTATTCAAATGCCTTCATGTTTATCTTAATTAAAAAAGGATCTTGGGACAGGTTCTCTGCTAATGTAAACAATCATAGAAAGCAGCTGCACCAATTTACGCCAGCCAAGGACAAGCCCCCACATTTATGAGCAAGGTGCCTGTGTTGAAGTGCAGCTTTGCATTGAACATGCATATTCTAATCTAGGACACTAAGTCCTTGGCTGAGCCCTTCTAATGTAAATACTCTGTACAAAACACGCTCACTCTCCCCCACATGCATATTCATGATATAACAGCTCCTGACAAAGATAATACTTTATGCAGACAGTGCCATTATTAGCTCTGACTGACAGGTGGATTTCTAATCTAACTTACATATGTCTCAAACAGAACACAAGAGCTTTGATATCAAATGCATTTTTAAAAATGAAGCTAAAATGTGGTTGGAGGGTGACAAAGGAGAGATGTGCCAGGTCCTCTGCTATTGGGTGCCACTTAGCAGCTGATGATAACTATACATTGAAACAAATATGAACAAGTGATTGATGCCTATTTCTGTTCTCTGCAGGCCCGGTCGCCCA